AGTTCTTTTCAGTGGAGATTTTGTATCCATTAGTAGGTGTAATGGTAAAGGTACCCAAATGCTGAGGTTTGAATGCCTTGTTTATACTGTAGAATATTGAAATCCCTGTGTGTATTTTCTGTGTTGTCTTAATTTGCTAATTAGTGTCTCAGTGTAAGAGAGTTTATCTGCAGAGGAGTGCTTGGATTTTCACTTTGAATTCACACAGATTGAAGGATCATATCATGTTTAAACAGCTTAGTGTATTCAGTGGTAGTAATAGTAAAGCGATACAAGATTTTATGTAGTGAATAATAGAATGGAAAAGCCTTGCTCTTTATTATTGACATACTTTGAAGAAGTTTAATTTAAAAATTTGATTCCTTGGTAATCTAGTCTGTACAGCTGAATGTGGGAACTCAAGGCTTAGCGTAATGAAACCACTTGTCAGATTCAGTAAAGAGCATTTTGGAGAGCATGACTTGTAGCAAAAGTGTCTGAAGTAATAATGGAAATATGCTAGAAAATAATTAGGTGAAAACACAGAAATTGTGTATCTTAATAAGGCCCATCTGAATGACAGTCCATATGCCCTGAATCTGCGTATTTACTGGTTTGAGATGTGAAAGTTGTAATTTAAATTATTATTCAGCTATGTAATGAGCCAAATTGTGAAACAATTCACATAATATTATTTCTGGAATCCAGTAGGATATTAAAGAAGCTGCATCTTGCACAAAGGCTCTCATGATACTATCTTCTAAGAGCAGAGTTCACTAAAGCTGGGAAAGTATTAATATTTAATTCACTCCTGCAGCATCTCTGCATGTCTGGGGTAGCTTTGAAGGAAAAGAGCAACTGATTTCTATAGAAAGATTCTGCTGCTTGCTTTTCTGTAACTGAAATGATTCAATACAAAATAAGATGGTTATGTTTGTTGATGTTCTTTTCTTCACAGTATCACAGTATCACAGTATGCTAGAGATTGGAAGGGACCTCGAAAGATCATCTAGTCCAATCCCCCTGCCTGTCTAGTTTTTACATCTTGGCTCCCTAATTTCAAATGAGATATTGAAAGTATTATCAGCACTATGCTGTATTTCTTGTTTGTTTCTTGACCTTTGTATAGTTGTCATAGCTTGGCTGATACCAGCTTTTTTTGACATTCTGTAGTATGCATGGTGTTGATGATGGGTTCAGCATTATGAATTGGTATGCGATATTAATCATGATGTCTCATTACTTAGTGCTCAAGATGGTTCTGAAAGTACTTTCCAGTGTTGGCACTGTGTAGTTATTGGAGATAATAAGTAGAAACAGACAATGAAAGAAGTGAATGCAGAAAATGTGATGTGTGTCATGAGTGGGCTGAGGGTTCTTGGCAGGCATAAAATCATATCGGCCTCTGTGTGTTTATATGTATTAAACAGTTATGGTAGGAATGATTTGTGACAAATACAGATTGAAACAATGTGAGCCTGATCATGTACTAAAACTGCAATGTTAAGTTCTCACTGAACGCTGACTACATTATTTCATAACTGCAGGCTTTGCAGTTAGTTCTGTGTATTTGCCAAACGATGACAAATCATTAGACTTAATCCATTTACTTGATTTCCTTGTCTTTCTAGGAAATAATTATTCCTTTTCCATATTATATTCACAGCCACACCTCAAAATCCTTTTGTAAATGTTATTAGCCAGAGCAAAAAAGGATTTTGCTGCAGTGAAAGTGCTTTTGTGTTTTTTATGCAGTAGTCATGGTTAATCTCCCTCAATCAGAAATATGTTATTTGTAGACCATAGATTACTTGCTAGTCAATATGAAGGGTTTTTTTTTAGTGTACAGTGAAAGAGTACTAGAATACATTTTAAGTGCTAGGATATTCTTTCTACTTTCTATAAAGCAGTTTTATGTACTCAGCCTTTGCAGTAATCCCTTATATTTACTAGGGGTTAAGAGATGCTGACAGCTCTTCTGTCATCAAGCTGAGTAAATTGAAACTGTGAGGATATTTTTGTGATTTCTTTTAAAGATGTGTTTTGAAGAAGTTGGCACAGTTTTATTGTTGGTTCTGCTTCTCATGTACATGAGAAGCAAAAGAAGTTACTGTACAACTCTGAATAGAACATTAACAGTGAGAATTTTTAGTTAAAATGTCACAAGTAAAAAATACTGCAGTTTTTTCTAGATAACACAGACTACTGAGAAACTAAATCTAAGGCACTGTTAGAGGTAGAATTCTTGAAAAACATAATTTGAACATATTCTATTCTACAAAAGCTTAATTCCTGTAAGGCATAGCAGTCAAGTGTCGTTGATCTGATCCATTTGAGCAGCCTTTGAATTGAATTGTAGTGATACCCAGTTTGTTCTGGAAGCAGCACATTCTCAGAATACCTTCATCTTTACAGTGTATAGGGTGCTGTGTGCAAGTTTGGATACACCTTCATATGGCATTGTTCTCATGAGTTTGTTTTCAGAGTTGAGAGTACCTTTACAAGAGCAGTGTGCTTTTGATTGTGTGTAGTCTGTTCTTAGAGTTTGTATTCCCCTGTGATGGTTATCTGCTTTTACAGTAGCTTCTTATGAGTTGATTTTACTTAAGTGAGTGAAGTCATACTGATGAAAATCAACGCAAGCAGAAGCGTGATAGGGTTAACAGTACAGAGTAGCAGAGGTTTGTGACTGCTGGTGGTTGAGCATCTTTGATGCTACTTGTGAGCCAGAAAATCTTTAGCATGATAACATCAAAGCATTTTCCTGGGTGAATCTTTCTGGACTGTTTCAGAAACTTCATAAACAGATTCTGCTTACTAGTGCATTTCAGCAAGAGACCGTCCCCTCATACAAATTGGTATCCTGCCAAACTTTAAAAACAGATCTTTTGAATATTTTGTCTTTAACAATAAGGTAGGTGTTGGTTGGAAAAATGAAGATGCTAACTTTCTGAGTAACAAAATTTGATTCTCTTTCAAATGCTAAGACCTGGCACTACTGTTGTGAAGTAATAACACTTTTATCACTTTATCCCAATCTATATTGTTCACTATGAGTGTTGACTGGGGGACTTAACACTGAAATGATTCTGAGTACACTTCCAAAATTGAAGTAGGTTGGAGTAAAAGGAACATGCTGCATTGCTCAGTGTATGACTGGTAATCATAATCGTGGGCTTGCTTAAATCCTATAAATGTTCCAATATATGCTAACATATTTAAGTATAATCGTTTAAGTGAGATGTAGTTAAATAGGGCACTAACCTTTCTAGATGCAATTTTACAGGTTAGAGAAGGCATTTTTTTGTGTGTCATGCAAGGACGTAGTCATAGGTTCTTTAAGCAGCAGGCCAATAAGGGATGTGCTGGAAAATGGATACTTTAATTTTTTTAATTGGTGTTTTTAGTTACAACTCAGTTGGGGGGGGGGGGGGGAGGATGGAGAGAAAAGTCACCAAGGCTTTTTGTCAAGGGCTTAGTCTGAAATAAAATGTGGTGTGGTTGCTGTTACTGACTTGTGAGAGCAAGAAGATGTCTCTTAGGGTGAAAAAGCCACTTGTAAGCAGTTCAGATGTGCTGGAACAGGTTGAATTCTATTATTTGGAATATAATTAATGTTAACACAGATTATGCATTAAAAAAATATATAATACAAGGAGCAGTTGCTCTCTGTAAATCTGAGAGCTCTGGAGACGTTCTCATACTCCTAGAATGAGCATGATCTCACTCCTAGAATGAGCGTGATCTCACTCATACTCCTAGAATGAGCATGATTTGCTCATTGTGGAATGACACTGTGTGGTCCACAAGTGTTACAATGCAGGAATACTGTCTTCAGGGCTCTTTTCTTTTGAATGGAAGGCAGCAAAGATACCTGAAGTAAAACGCTGTAGCTCAGATGTTGTACTTAAATAGAATGAGTCAGGTAGCTGGGGTTTTTTACTTGTCTGACAGGTCTGTAAAATGTCTTGAGTCCCAAAGGTCATGAGTATTGTTTGGATGTTTTTTAAAAATAGCATGAATTTTTATCAACTTTATTTTTTTCTTTCTAAATGTGTTACCAGTTTATGGGAGCACTGTCTAATCTCTGGATAACCTTGTGATTTAAGAATACAGCAAATGAAAATTCATAACTCGCATTCTGTTAATTGGTTCTGACCTCCCTAAAATGATAACTTCTGCAAAAGCCTTTCAGTGTGTATTAAATGTGTAATGGAAATACTTGTCCATTTTTTTTACATTAAATTCTCAAATAACCTTGTGATTTAGTTTGAAGACTTCTTAAATGCTTTGAATCCTATTAATATTAAACTAAGTAAATAGACAAGTAGATACTGCCTAGCAATGTCATTATGTTTATGGCTGCTAGTGTGGCAATTGAAGTAAAGCTATTTTCTTCCTGTAGCTTTAGCTTATAGGATGAAGTTGTATAATGACTCATTTAGTCTTCTGGGTTACTTGTGGAATTACAGGTAGAAAATTTCTGCATTGATTGGTTCAAGATCAGACTCAAGCTCTAATGTCAAATTGTTTGCATTTATTGCTGCAGAGCTTAGAGCTAAAAGAAGATACTGAATTGCATTTAGAACCTGTTCCTCAGCATCCGGTTTGTCATAGTGAAATTGAAGATGACTGCTTCATTTATTTGTCTTTTGGTTATAGCAAATACAATTTCTGTAACTGATGAATTCAAAATGATAAGCAAAATTGGCTGGAAGAGGGAAGGTAAATTAAAATCACAGGGCATGCATGTGGAAGGTTCTTTAGAAATAGGAGTTCTTGCCCAGCAAATACAGTATTTTAATCAAATGGATGTGGGAGATCAGACAGTGTGTTCAGGATTGTGATCTGTAAATGTATGTGATGGTTATAGTGAGTGAGGAGCAGTGGAAGGAGCAATAATAAACTACTTTAAAATATATCCGTGATTAACAGGTTGTGTAAATTCCTACTAACTTGGTAGCATTTGTATCTTTTGAGTATATGACATTTAGTGGAACTTTTTGCCCTTTGTATTTCAGTGATAGACGTTTGCTACAACCTGCTCAGGTATGTGACATTCTCAAGGGAGTTATATTGGTCATCTGCTACTTCATGATGCACTATGTGGACTACTCTATGATGTACCATCTGATAAGGGGACAGTCTGTCATAAAGCTCTACATCATCTACAACATGCTTGAGGTAAGAATGTTGGCATCAGAATATCAAGCATGCTTTTTCTCGAACTATCTAAAATAATGCTGTATTACAGTATTTGACTTGGAATATGGCACATCTCATTCTCACAAATGTGCAGACACTCATACTGAGCCTAGATGCAGTGAAACAGGCTAGTTTATGAAAAATAAATTTTGTAGATACTGCTTCACATTGTCTAATTCCTGGAGTTTATTAATCGGTGGAGCTGAATGGAAACTGAAAACTGGAAATGAAAGAAGAAATGCTTTAAGCTGAAATGCAGTAAGTGGAGTGAATGAGGTTTTGAAATTGAGAAGAATAGAAACTATTAATTTGAAGTAGTGGTAATATCCTGAGAGAGAGGAGAGAAGGAAAATAGTAGAAGACGTAGAATTTGTTTTTTAGTTCTTCATTGTGAAAGTGTAGCTTCATTGTTTGCAAAGACACGTGCTACTGCTTAACCCATCTCAGTCTGGGCTAGCAAACAAAGGCCTGAGTACATAAACAGTAACTTGAGTGAATATAATGAAACAAGAAAAGGAAATTCTGGTTTGGGAGGTAAGATAAAGAGAAATTCAGGGGAAATAAGGGAGGAAGGTTTCTGTTTTGTTAGTAGTGTACAGCATGAAATTTTTAATTGCACTTCAGTGATTCACAAAGTAAATAATGTTTTCATAATTACAGTCTTATCTCTATCCTTCATGTGTAGGACCTATTAGGAGTACAGCCTCTTAAATCAGAGCTTTGTACAAGAGAGTTACTCTGCTAGGATTCTAGGATGTCTGAATAATATTAATTCTTGCTGTACCTTTTGTTTGAAGATTGCTAAAATGAGGGTACGCTTTGTGCAAAATCTGAAAATTTTGTCTGAAGATCTTTGTTCTTTAAAATATGAAAATATTGCAAAAGGAATGCACTTCATTATCCTAAGTGAAATAAATATAATACAAGCCACCTCAGTTGTTTATTCTTAGGGTTGCATTTCCTTTGGTTTTAGGTTTGCTGAAAAACGTGGATGAATACTAAATTAGCGCTTAATTACTATGTGAATTTTAGTCGTGTGTGTATTTTCATCCATATATATGGGTTGGAACTAGATGATCTTTAAAGTCCCTTCCAGCCCGAACCATTCTATGATATTGAGAGATAATAATATACTAAATAAATGTGTTCAAAATAATAAATTCTCTTTATTTCAAGACTCTTTGAAGTCACTTCTCTTAAAGCTTAGAAAGTACACCACTGTGTGCTTACCACATGATTGGAGAGACTGCAGCGTCTGCTGCGAATTGGAAGCCATGTGCCATTCTGTTTTGAATGAAGAGATTAATTACTTTGCTTATGTCTGGCAGAACCAAAAGTGTGTCTCAACTAATAAGTGGGGGTTTGATTTTTTTATTTTTTTGGGGGGCGGGGTGTGGAGGGTTGTTTGTGGGGGTTTTTGGATGTTGGCTGGGAGGATGTTGTTTTGTTCTTCAGGAAAGAGGGAAGTCTGTTACCGCTCAGCGTTATTAGAGACTATTGAAGTTGGAATCGGTATTTAATTTCCATGGTGTCTCATGAAAGCCACCATGCCAAGCAAAGGGCATATCGTTTAAGGGGCTTTTTTACCATGGTAGGTTGCAGCCACAGTGTTGGCAGAACATGTCACGGGATCTCACTAGTTGATAGTCAGCTTTTAGCAGTTTGAATATTGCCTTGCTTAGGCTAGTTCAGTGAATTTTGTTATTAGTCTTTACTGCTAATGCAAGCAGTGCTTTTTATGGAACTATTAAATATGCTTTTTAAAAAAAATGTCAAACTTTACATTTTCACAAATTTTTAAAATAGGAAGATTTTTTTAATTAATTTAATTCACTGAGCTGCAGAGATGTTTACAATGTCCTAATGTTTTCGGCTGTTGGAAAGTCCAGGAAATGTTGTCCTGCACAGATACAATGAATGCAAATACTTCAAATTCTGTGCTGAACGCTCCAGATAGACAGCCTCAGGGAAGCATTCAGCACCTTTGGCTTAAATGACACTTTTCTTTTTTAGATTCAGACCCACCGGCTCCTGCTCCTTGTGAAGCCCCAGTGTGCGTTACGCTGGTGACAGCACTCACCATGGAATTCTGCTGGAGCCTGGAGCCGGCATGTAGGGTTTAGGTAAGTCCTATTTGGAAAAGCTAGCAGCAATATTGTGTGGTGGGTTTTAATATTTTTCTATCCTGTCAGCTAAGAAAAAAGCACTGCTTAAATAAAAAGGAAAGCAAAGCCACCATTTTTGTCTGTTAAACCCCTCACAATATTGTGAACAAAAGCTTACCAAACTCTTAAGCATTCTGTAGTTGGTGCTATCACACCAGGTGTAGTTACTCAGTGGGTCATCACAATGAGCAGGAATCTGATAATGCAGACCACCATAATTTACAAAACTATAAAGCCGAAAACACTACCACTGTAAATATCTCTCAAAGTGATGGGTTTTTGAACTTCAGATTTATAATTCATCAGCTCATGCTTTTGTTCATTTTATTTCATAGGTGATGCTTAAAGTGTAACATATAGTAGAGTTTACTTGAGATATCCAGTCAAAATTTGGTTAAATTCAACCTTCAAATTTTATGAAACGTCAATGACTGTTGGCTTGAATAAGTTAAGAATATGACTTCTCTCCCTTAAGGATTTTTACATTTAGAACTCATAATTTTATTTTTTAGCCAGATGTATTGTGACACCAGATTTAATTTTTGAAGTGCTATTCTTGTTATCTGGTGCAGCTTAGTTTTAAAATTAGTGAACTGTAGTGTATAGGCAGAAAAAAGTCTTTCCCTGTAACGAACTTCAGTTTTACATGCTTGTTGATGATGAAGTGTTGAGAACTGATGGAACTGCATGTGACCTTTCTTGCTGCAGTATTGAATTACAAGCTCAGATTGCTCTCCATGTTTTTCCTATCTTTAGAACCACTGCTAGGGGAGGTTTCCTACTTGTGCATGCATTTTTGTGAGTTACACTTCAGATGCTTGTGTTTTTTTTTTCACACTAATTTTCCCTTTTTGGCAGAATTTTTGTCCCTCTTGATCACTTGATATTGTGTTCTAGTACTTTTGTTTTTGAATTCTGCTTTATGCAGAGGTTTGTGTTGAGTATATACTTTATTCCAAGATGTAAAGAAACAGTGCAGGCAGTGTGTTTCTATAGAACATATATATTCTGTATAGAAATAAATACTTTTCTATCATCTCAGTCCTTTTTGTACCTATAAGCTGATGTTTCCAATGACACATTTGAAATTCACTTTCTTTTCTTCCCCTCCCCTCTCTCCCCCACTTTTAAACCCAGAGGGATGAAAAAAAAAAAACAGGATAGTTTGAGGAAACACATATATTGCTTTATCAAAGGCTGAAGTTTGAACAGCACTTGGATGTCTTCCAAGGAAGCATCTAAGATATCACTACATGGTTATGTATTGTAAATACTGTTGAAAAGGGGATAGTAAATTTGAGAGGGAAAGTAAGCTGCTGAGTATACAAAAGGAGCAATATCAAATCCAAAAATGGAAATGGAATGTGCAAGAGATGAAAGGTGATAAATATGGGAAACTTTTTTTTAGGTTGAGTTTTACTTATGGTGGCATATTCAGGTGTTGGAGAGAAAAATATTGCTTTAAGGTAGTAAAATTTTTCTTCTTTAGGTGGCTGATCGTCTGTTTTCTTCATTTGGACAAGATATTTTGGATGCCCTTTACTGGACAGCTACAGAACCCAAGGAAAGAAAAAGAGCTCACATAGGTGTGATTCCTCACTTCTTCATGGCAGTGCTGTATGTCTGTATCCTTTTCTTCGATAAATTGCAAAATTTTCTAAATCAAATTACACAGTAATTGCTCTGTATTATTTTATGTGATTCCTCAGTCAGTGTTCCTTTACTTCCAGAGTAAAATTGCCAGTTCTGCAGGCTCATAGAATTAATGGAAAAAACCTTTTAACCTGCTTTTAAGTAAAAACCTTCGTAATGGTGTAGTGCCGCAGTAGTAGACAGCTTTTTTAAATACCTAATGCGTAGGAAAATGAAAACCATTAATTGGATAGTTCATGGAAATTTTCATTTCTGATTTGTATTTGAGTATTTTGGGTCACAGGGTCTGGAAGAAAGTGTTTCTTTTTTTATTTAGTGGAATGTTAAAAAAGCCTTGCTTGAAACATTTGCTTCTAATGAAGGGCATTTCAAGCCATGCATATTGATGCAAATGGTGTGAAGTAACCTTACAGTGAACTGATGAAGTAGAGATATGTACTCTGATAGATGTGGTGATGAATTCAGAATTCTTGTACTTTCCCCTGTTTTCTCTGAAATCTTTAGGTTAATTCTGAATCTTTATTTCAGATTTTTTTTCTTTCAGGTTATGTTGCTGTTTCTCCTGACTAATGTCATTAGGCTCTTTTAGAACAAGAAAATTAGCATAATTACTACATGCTACAGAGCCCTGTGGGTATGTTAGGAAGGTCTAAGTGCTGTCTTGCTGTAAACCTACTTGATAGGGAGATAGAAAATTTTTTTTTAAACTTTGGAAGCAAAATAGAAAATTTGAGGTTTGGTACTGTTGTACTGTAAAATATTTCCTAAGATGCTTCCTTAACCCTGCTATCTATAGTCCTGCATGCTATTCTTATAATGGTTCAAGCAACAACCCTTAATGTGGCCTTCAACTCCCACAATAAATCACTGCTTACCATCATGATGTCCAATAATGTAAGTATTATATAGCTACCCTGTTTTTTTTTTTCAGCATCCTTCATTTTTTGGATATCACATCTATTTGCATATTATTTGTCTGATTTGTTTATGTCAGTTTCTTATGAATAAAAATTAACTGGCTGTTTCCAAACATTGCAGTTCGTTGAAATAAAGGGAAGCGTTTTCAAGAAGTTTGAGAAGAACAATCTTTTTCAGATGTCAAATAGCGGTATGTATACCTATGCTAAGCAGGAGAAAATGTGACTTGAGAGCCTGATTCTCTTAAATTATTTATTTATTTAATGTTGTTTTAAAAGAACTTTACCTTGGTGAATTTGAGCGTTGACTTGAATGCCTTACTTCCCCTATTACCATGCGGTTCAGTAGGATGAAACTGGGATTCCACTTTGTACAAACACTGTTTCTTCTTAAATGGCTAGCTTTTATTTGAGTTTCTAAGGCATCCTATTGGCTCTGTGCTGAATTCATTATTAAATAGGAATTTTAGATTTAAGTTATGTTACTTATATTATCCATGCTTCAAAGTGTCTAAAGTAGTCTGTGTTTTTGAAAAGTTGAATGTGTAGTGTGCTGTGTTGACAGTGATCTCCGAATGCATGTTGTTTGGCAGTTGGGAGGATAGGTCTTGAAATATTTCCCTCATCCCTAAAAAGAATTGTAATGATGAAGTAGTTACTTTATGAAGGATTTACCAGTGATGACTATCTTTTGACATGCTGTCAACATAACAGTACTTAGGAAACACATTATGCTTCTGACACTCCTTACTTGTTCTGATGCTTAGTATTAAATTCGGGAGCTCTTACTCAGGGTGTCTTGTGAGGAAAAGCAGATATCCTTTCTAATACTTCTATTTCTAATACTTCTGTCAGCCATCTGAAATACTTGTCGAATTCTTGGTTTCGGAACTAATAGGAGAGATTGCACTTTAAGGTTGTTTTAGAGCTTCTTTGCTTGTAATATTTTCTGATCTTTGAGCACACTTGTTTCTATTACTTTGTGCATATGACTTTTCTGGTCAAAGCTATTTATACAGATAAGCCAGCAAAATAGAAAGTATTTTTCAATTCCAACCACTAGTTTTTCAAACCAAAGAACTCAAATGTTGAGTAGGTTAAAAAGATATTAATAATGTAGCTGCTTATTTTAAAAACAGATTTTGGTTTGGATTTTTTTTTTATCCAGAGTTAAACTTTTGGAAGACTCGCTTCAGGTTTTGAACTCTGGCTATTGATGAGACTTTTGTCTAATTGCAAACTGCAATAATATTACATGCAAATATGAAATGGCAGTTGTTTTGTGACACTTTGGATGACAGACTGTTTACAAAAATTTTAATATGTCACATAACTGAAAAATAAGCACTGAATTTTCCTCCACCCTGTAAATTTTTAGAAAAACCCCAAAATAATCTTCCTGCTGGGTTGATAAGATGTTTGTCTGTATTAAGAGTATGTATTTTTGTCTCCAAGATTTAAATACTTAGATTTTTTAAATTATATGTATTTAAATTTACAGTGAGAAGAACATCCAAAAGTGATGTGTGCTAAAATACAGAAAACAGACGAGTTTTCTTAATTTTTTTTCTCATTAATCACAGTACTTGCAGAAAATAGTTACAGGTGTGCACCCAGCTCTGCTATTGAAAGGCAAGGCCTCTTTCTTGATTTAAATGTTGAAACAAATGAGGGACTGCTATTAGAAGTGGCTAGTCATTTCCTCCATAAAAAGCACCTGCAACAGTGTGCTAGAAGAAATGTGTATCAATATTTTATTGCTAGACATGATTATTGAAAACCTGTAATAGCAATGTCAGGTCTCCCATTATTTTCCCTGGTGGAAAAAGTGATGACATTCATTATACCATATGGGGATAGAAGTACGTGAGTACATACACAGAAGAGTGTACAAAACAAGCTAATTTATTCCCTTCAAACAGGTAACTTTTCCCAGAACGCTTCTTAGTATGGTTATAAATAGCAATGTTTTTCTTCTCATAGATAAATAACGTAGACGGGTTTTTAGAGAGGTTTTCACCTCTTTTAAACATGTTTACTGTGTTACAGCTTCCGTAGGAATGGATCAGTATTGCTTCAATTCATGTATTCTGATAACTTTGTCATCCTTTAAATGTTTTATTTCCTGCAACTGAAATGGTAGTGCATCTTGCATTGGCGTACTACACTGTGCTATGTCTTGTGCCCTGAGATTCCAATTAGCCTTTGGATTGTCGTATACAGCCTAGAACACAATGTGCTGCAACTGCATGGCTGGACTAAAGTGCTAAAATAAAGCACTAAATACAGTGCTTTCCTCTATATATTCCCCTATATATTTCCCACCTTCCTCTTGGTTTCTTCTAGCAGCTTTCTCAGGTCTGCAGTCTTTGCTGTTGGGCAACAATGCCAACAGTAGCTGATTAAGCTTAGACAGAGTGAATAGATGACCCTTTGCCCCACCTTTTCTGGGACTCTTCCTAAAATGTTACTGTTCTCTCAATCACATGGTTTAAATTCAGTGAAAAGGTACCAAATTGTACACAGAAGCTAAGTACCATTAAATCATTTTCACTTGGCATTGTGCTCACCACTGGCTTGTGGATAGCAGGCAGATCTATGGTAATGCTGGTTTTCCTGGTATTTCCAGCTCTGAACTTAGTGCAGTGGAGTCAGTGATCCTTCTCGCCTTTGTATGGGCATTTAAAATTCTGCTGTAACAGCTAATTGAGTAAAACTTCAGGTCTAAAAGAGCTGTGAATCATGTACATAAAAACTAATGGAACAGAACACACAATATACATGGGTTACACAGTTATATAAGAAAATCAAACCTGTTATCTTTTAGGTGCAGGTCAGAAAAGATCTTGGGGTTTGTGTACCTGCTTGAGATTGCAGCTATGGAATCTGTGATTTCAAGCATATCAGCTCCAGCAGCTTTCATTTCTCAGCTGTAGCAAAAGTACTTTGTCACCTGACTTTTACTAGGAAATTTATGTACACCCAGGCAGTCTAAACACTGGCCATTGGAAGAGATTTCTATACAGAAGACAGAACTGTATATTTGTTGTAGCAGGAAGAAATATTTCTTTACATTTAAATAGTATATTCTCTTTTTGATATAGCTAGTTTTGTAGGGTTCAGGACTAGTGAATGAAGAGACTAAAATTATAAAGAGAAGCTCTTTCATCATTACTGAAAGCCCAGCAGGCTGCCTCCTTTATGCTTTCAAGTGTCTTATTTTAATTTCAAGCTGTGCTCTAAAATAAATTTTTCACAAGACACAATTGTACATCATATGAAGTAGTACATTACATGCAGTGCACTGTGCTGTTGGCTTCAGTTGGCTGTTTGGGCTGATTATTCCTTGATTTTTTTTTAAATGTCTCATCTCAAAAAAAAATAACGTATTTATTCTGAAGCTTTAGAAACTTCAGGGTTTTTTTCTTTAGAATGTCTTTTTTTTTTTTTTTCCCCTTAATTCTGTTCTTTCTGTTTTGTTCCTGATTTAAAAGTCTCTTTTGGCTTTGATCAAAATATTGAACAAAATATTTTTACCTTTGGTCTCTGGAATTCACACTGCTTTCTCATATGGCTTTAGTTTTTTTAATGCCATTATTCTAATTCAGCTGTTTGTTTTAAGGATGAAGGATTTGGGGGCAGGAGTGTATTTAAGATAGATCAGTGCCTCTGATGATTCCTTGTTCAGTCTTTGATCCTGTCTTGTGCTCTGGTCACTTGTTAAGAGGTAGTTGTCACTAAAGTGTATTAGCATTTGCCTAGATGTAAACCATGTTTCACTTCTTCCATGCTATGATTTATAATCAGCTTTTGATCTAAACATATGAACACTTGAGATTAACATGATCAAAATTATGTTTTCCTTCCTGATTATGGATTCCTACATGATGTGTTAGGGAATCTGGAAGGAAATTAATAGGAGCTCTAAAGACTACTTTCTACTTGGGCGAGTGGAAGTGCCACTTCTGAATTGTTGTTCCTGGAATTTCATTGCCCTTCTTGGTAGCTAGCATTGCCAGGTACCTAAGCTCTTCAGAGTTCAGGTCCTGTCTGAATGGGTTCAGTAATCAACTGTGTGAGATACTAGCTAATTAATTATACTAGTCCATAGTAGATGCAGTGTTGTCCTAGAAACATCCTTTATTTCCAACTTCATCCATTTCTGTAGTCTTTTACATGTGTTTTAATAGTGGTGATACCCTGTAACACATCAGCAATTCAACTTTTGGTCTCTGTTGGCAATCTGTTCGGTCCTTTAAACTGAATGTCTGTATTTCCCAGAAGGATTTAGAGAAGGGCAAAATGTGTTATTAATATGGGCATAGAATTCCTTTTGAATTAGAATGGCAGGGTTAATGTAAATGGGGTGAAGAATATTTAAAATCTGATTTGGTTTAGTACAATCCTTTTTTAGGCTTTACTGCACAGAACCACTAGAAAAAAAGTGCATTTTTAATTGTTTTTTTTAGGTCTAATTACCATTGGTTGTTTTGGATATCTTGGAGCCTTTTTTGCCCTTTTCCATAAGGGTGAGAAATGATATTAATTTCTGAATCATTTGGGTTTATTGTTGGATGCCCTTTCTCCTGTGCTTGAGTCTGACAACCAGTTGATGAGAGGGATGTGGATGAAGAAGAGCAGCCTCAGTCATTCCTCTCACTCCAAGCAGCCTTGAACAGCTGTGGCAGCAGAGATAACAGATTAGAAGGCAGGCCAGTAGGAACAGGAAATATAAGCAGAGGGGAAATACAGGTGTCAACCTGTCATCCAGTCCCAGAAATTATTGGGAGGAAAATTTTTATAGAAGTTTATTTTTACAGTGTAAGAGGAAATTTAAGGCCAAAGATTTCCCTTCTCAATTTAATCCTGACAACTGGTGAGGTAATATTTTGAGCAGGTAATAAATGTCTGAAGGACTTGCTTGAAACATGGTTTCGTGTTTAGGCCTGAATTAAGGTCTTTACTTCCCCAAGAGGCCTGTACAGATAGAAATTCTCAAGTGGGATCTGAAGCACTGAAGATGGGATGTGTGTATTGTCTTACACATTGGTGATCATTGATGATGATCATGGCAGTGTGGGAAATACAAGATGAAACCTTTTTGAGATTTTGGGCAAAAGTCTGAAGTTAGTGGTTATTTTTGACTTGTCAATGGGTATGATAGAGAATATAGATCAAGGAATACTGGACTGCATATTAATCTGCTGGTGACAGTACCAACTGATATCTCTTAACTAGCTTTATCAGAAAATACCGTGTTCTGGTAGTTGGACAGTATTTGATGATTTCAGAAGCGTAGAAGAATGTACTTGACTTGTTAGAGTGTTACTGGCAGGTTAGGACTTCACCTGTGTCCTGTTTTCTCTCAGTATTCAGAATTATTTTACCGAAGGATTTTTTTGTGTCTTCGCCAGTACATATGCCACCTGTTCCGTTTTGGAAACTTGTGTTTCCTTTGACCTTTTCCAGCCCATACTAAGAGATGAATTTATGTACCCCATAATGTACCTTTTTACATGTGTAAATGTGCATGCTTTCTCATTCTGATTGAATTCTTCATGCTTTTTGTTCCCGTCTCCTGGAGGAGTAGTTGCTTTTTTTTTTGTACCTTTCCCTCAGGCTTGCCAGTATTTGAAAACTTGTTTTTTTAAAATTAGGGATATTGTTATACTAGAATATGGTGACTGCGGTTTGTGTGCTTTTTAGTACAGTAAAAAGCGTGATCCTTCCTGGAGCAAGATGTGTGGGTTTTCTCTGGAGATAGGGTACCAAAGGAGAACAAAGGACTTTGCCTGTTCTGGGAGGGCAAGTCCTAAGACTCACTCTCAAGTTGGACTGCTTTTGTGTTACAGTTCTTATGGTTTTGATGACTGAGCTAATGTATCCTGCTGTCCCTTTTAAAGGTGGCGCTGTGGAAGTCTGGTAGACACCTTCTAACTAAGCTGTAATAGTTGTCTTGAAATACCTTCCACCACCCCACTACTAGATCCAGTATATAGCAGTTTGGATATCTGCAATCTGTAGTAAACAAAATTTGCCTTGCTGGTAACTTGAAATGGCAGGCAGGTGTATTGTCTCCATTTTTGCACTAGGAGGTGCTGGTTCTTTTTTAATTGCACAAGAAATACACAAACTTTATTCAAGAAAGATGACTATTAATGCGTTAGAAAAGGTGATAGCAAGTCTGTTTTATTAATGCATTAGGAAAGGTGATAGCAAGTCACAACTTAAGTCTCTTCTGATGCTGGAGAGCCTGAGTTGATGCAGCATCGGACAAACCTCCCGTCAGGCCACAGCATAGTGCAGAGATCCTGTCCCTGGTGAGGTTCCCATCATCCCCTCCCCTGAAATCTGATCAAATAATTTAAGGAAGACTTAATAAATGACAGAACTCAGCGTGATTAGATATCTCTGTATGCAAATAAATGTTTCTTTGGAGTTGACAGCTTTTCTTTTTTCTTTTTTTTTACCTAGACATAAAGGAGAGGTTCACCAACTACGTGCTGCTGTTAATTGTATGTCTAAGAAATATGGAACAGTTCTCATGGAATCCAGGTGAGTAAACTAGTAGAAAAAATTAATACAGAATGACAAATTCCTGTGCTATCAACAACGGTATCTTTCTATTTGTTCCCCAGTCTGAAAGACAACTAGGTCATTTAATTAAGGAAACCTAATTTGACAGATTCCTTAGATTCTCATTTTTCTGTTTCTGGCTTTCTTATAAGGATGACTTGCTCCTTTCTGTTAGAAGTGTATACTGTTGTGCTACAAACTTCCTAGTTATGTTTCAGGTAGCATCTTGAATGATTTCTTCACAGCTCTTCCGTTTCCTTGGGGTACATTGAGGGTGAAGGGTCCCTTAGAGAGCTTGATTTCATGCGGCTAATGAAATAGAAATTTGATAGATTATGTAAAAATTTCTATTCATAATACTGATTATACTTACGATTTTATATTGAATACATATTGAATAAAATTTATTTTATTAAAAATCTGGTTTAACAGTTTTAAGACCTTATCTGTGTGGTGTATTACTAGTCTACATAAATTTTACCTTAAGCATCTAAATCACAGGTGCTCTGCTTCATACATACTGAACATCTACTATCACATACAAAGGTTGTCTTCCTAGCAGAGATTAGACTTCACAAAATAAGGGCTTTAAAACCTCATCCAAACTGTGGTGTGATTGTATAGTGTTGATAGGTTTCTACAGCAGCAGTGGAATGAGTGAGAACTTGCACACCGCAAGCTGAGTGGTGATGTAAAGTTATAGACTCTTCAGACTCTTGAGGGCTTTTCACTGTTGAGCAGAATTGTTACAATTTTTGTTCTGTATACTGGCATCACATTAAATAGCCTAACTTGTTTCTTCCCAACCTTCAGATCATCTTTGGGTGTTATTCCCAGATGTTTGCATGGTGGTTGCTTCAGAAATTGCGGTGGATATTGTGAAACATGCCTTTATAACAAAATTCAATGACATCACAGCTGATGTAGGTATCCTGTTTGGAATGCTGAGTGCTATTTTAAGTTGTAGTTTATTTTGCTAATGTTTTGGGGGGGTTATATTGAAATCTATTCCAGTGCAGAAAATGTAAAAATTATTTTCAGATATAGGATTTTTTGGGGAAGACTTGGTAATTTCCTGATGCAATAGATTTCTGAGGATCTTTATAATGTGGAACAAATACCTCTGCTTTTAAATTAGCAGTTCCAGATCCATAAATTACTGAAAGTGTTGTATAACAGTTCACATAATTACTACAAACCACATAACCGGCAGATCATTTTGTGAAGTGATCACTAGTTAAATTGACAGAAAGTTACTTGTTCTACAAGTCTAGATGGAGCTTGTACCTTTTCCTATCAGAATGGATTGTAGGTTAAAATTCAGCGTTTAGGAAAAATATCTTGTGAGGCTGCTGAACCTCTGTTGTTGCCTGGGTGTTAAAGGTGGAATATGAGTTCAGAGATACACATTTCCACTGTCCCTGGAGCACTAATATGAAGTAGGTTATATTCATCTGCCACTCCTGAAAATTCTTAGTCCATACATATAGTGCAGTCCTGCTTTTAAAGCAGTAGATGAGGTTACTTTTTATGTATTATGGCGTGATACGCTGGCCATTTGTCTTGCATGTCGTGCGAGTTCAAATGTACTTGATAAATTTGTGTAGTGATGAGCTAGTGGTTTTTCACTTTTAAAACCTCTTTTGAGGAAATGAGATCAGAACTTGTAAGTGCTATCTTTTCCAGTATCTCTAAAGTAACTACATTGTGCAGTGTAGAAACAAGTTTAATGGATGTACTTAATAAGCTCCCTTATGCCAGAGGCATTTATGCATGCCCTACTTTCATACAGAGAGTGTGGAAAAGAGCAATAATGAAGTCATGATAGCCAAGAGTGTAGCATGCTTCAGTGTGCTGAAACAGGTGAAGGATGGTTCTCATGAATGACAGTTTTGCAAGATTTATTTAACAAACCTTGTATTTGTTGTAAGAAGTTCTAAAGATTTATGATTGCTAGGTCAGACTTTTTCAGAAGTTTTGAACACCTGTAGTGCAGCTGCCCTGCCACTTATCCTTAAAATAGATGCTTTTATGTCTTAATATGCAGAACTGTTTTAAAGAGAAAGATAAGCTACATTTATCTTCTGATACAGCTTCCTTGTTTCACAGGATCATTTGCTTAGTATATAGATACGCTTTCATTTGCTTAATTTCATCCCAGTCCTACCTTTCACATAGCTTAAAAACAATTATGAAATGTAGGGAAAAAGTATACATGATTTCTCTTACTTTGTGTTTCTGATGATCCTCAAGTTTAGCAAGTGCTTTATAAAGTCTCATTCAATTCTTAAAACATAGCATAGTGCTGTTTATTTGTTGTATATATACGCAAGTTACCTTATCATGGAAAGGTGGGCTCATCTGTTGAAGGGTGTAGTTAGACCTAACTAAAACAGGCTTGGACTACTTCAGCCTGGCGTTGATTTATTTTATTAATATCTCTGCTGCTTCTATAATGTAATAACAAATGAATCACACATCCGATGTGCTGGATTTTTTCCAGGTCTACAGTGAATACAGAGCCAGCCTTGCATTTGACCTTGTTAGCAGTCGACAGAAAAACGTAAGCCTCAAAATGAAGGCATCTTGCATTAACTAACATAATTGTTACAGCGCGTATTATAGAATATGATACTGGATACTGGAACAAACACTTAAAGAAATGCAGAACTGTTACATTCCTACAGCACTGAAATTCTACCCTGCTTTTTAATCAGAGATAACAGGATATATTCTTATTTTTATCCAGTTGTTAAGGTCACTTCAGGCTTTATTCAATATGTTGGTGTGAAGTCTTTTCCAGATACACTTGTAGTCAGGTGATGGTTGTACCAACTTCAACGTTTTTGAGATATATGGGAAGTAATTCACCTTAACAAGATGTCATTGAGATAATTTTCAGTTACTGTTCTTTTTTGCTTTATTTTAATTGGATCGCAACAAAATACAGTATTCATCAGGAATTTATATCTTTTCTTCACTATGTGTGCAGATGTATAGGGATTTTTTATTTTGCATGTTACTGTTGTGACATAGGTATTTAAGAAGCACACAAACTGCTTGTGTTTTTCATTAGTACTGGTTTTTGGAAGATTATTTACAGCATACCTTTCTTGATGAGTCTGTTAACTATTAGTGACTGCTCTGGATGAGTGCTCTACCTATTAAATGAAATTTATTATTATAATTTATGTACTTTTCTTGGGAATGTTTAACAGCTATTGCTAGGAATGAAGTAGTTGTACCTCATAAAGGAGTTAGACACCTTCAGTTACAAATAATTTGTACATGTTTAAAAAAGGTTTGTAGTTCTCAAAACTCCATTCCTTTCCCTAGGAATTGTCTGTGGAAAATAAGTTAGCAGCATATAGCCACTAACTTTGGCATGACTTTTAATACTGCATGAAAGCTGTCATGCAAAGTAGTTGTGTTTTGGGAGTTCAAATGTAAACATATTTTCAAAATTACTTTAACACAGTTATCCTGAGGCTAATTGTAGATGCTCATAGAATGATTTAAAGTCACTAGCATGATGGATAATTGTAGTTTTATCCCTGTTATGGGTTTTTCTGTACAGTATTTGAGGATCAAAGTCAAATTAATACAAAAAGGTCTCTAAGCTAGTAATAATGTGCACATGAAATATCATGGTGCATTTGGATTCAGTGTCCTAATTGCTCTTGATTTAGAGATTTGTATTATACTCCAGTCGCTCTTGGTTTAGAATGCTGAAGCTAATCTTGCCAGTCATGGTAGCATTACATTTTTGTCTGAGAGGACAGATAACTGCATTTGGATTTCAGAATGTGAATGGGTACACTTTATACCAGTACAGTGTTTGTTAGCAGAGATTGATTCTTATCTAGAGGGTGTGCCAAGCGAAAACAAGTTCATTCTTTTGCATAAATAGTTCATTCTTCCTCTTTTTTCCTAGGCATATACAGATTATAGTGATTCGGTTTCCAGAAGGATGGGCTTCATTCCTCTTCCACTGGCTGTTTTAGTAAGTTGTATCTTTCCTGTAAGTTTTCTGTCAGTAAGATCTCACTTTGAGAATATATGCCTGTGAGATAGCATTTTCATGGTTTGAGGATGAAATGATCATGTGAAGTCACAGAAATGGTGCTGCAAGGTTGAGTTTGCATTCAGTGTAATCTGCATCACATATTAATTGTAACTTCATGAATATGTTACTGTTTATCATCTCTTCATAGAAAATCAAATATATTTTAATTTTATAGAATTTATAAGCACTTGGATTGTAGCAGTGGAGCTAAACTACATCTGTGCTTATTAAACATTTATTCCTTTTGGCAATTATCCTGTTCATTCGGAAGAGTCAAAGCAGCTGGTTGCCAGAAGGTTAACAGTTGTGTACTAGTTTTTTTAGGTTTTTCATGGGAGTCCTCATGGTTTTCCCTGTAATGGTATGCTTAATGACTCAATTTTCTTTTATGTAAGTGAGCTGTGTGGTGTTTTGCCGCCCGCCAGGTTAAACCATGACAATATGGGGCACTGAGCTTCTGAGCTGTTGTGGAATACATGATTTTGAAATAGTTAACCGTGTTATGTGGACATGCTGCTATAAAATAAATTACTTCATTATTGGAATTGTGTCCACATGCTCTCTGTTCTGAATTAACTGTTGCAGAATGTTTTGTGTAAATAGCTGGTCTGACTTTCCACATACACACGTGCAGACAAGCAGCAGTTATCTTAACACTGGGGATGTGCCCTTGCTTTGCCAGCCAGGATGGTAGCTCATCATTTTCCTGGAAGAGTATCAGTACGAATTAACTTAAATGTATTTTTTTTCCATAGAGGTGGGGTAAAATATCATTGATAGACTTTGCCTAGTTTTGCATAGGATTTTAAAAAAAAAGCAACACACCAAAAAAAAAAAGCCACCAAAAAAATATACCAGCTGGGGTCATAATCATGATTTCTTTTATAACTATGCAAAGTACATCCAGTGAGAATTTAAATGCTTTTTTCAATTAAATTGTGTGCTGATATGATATCCCTGACACTACTAGCTTTAAAACAAACTGAAGTGCTTTGCTAACTTGGAACCCTAACTGTGAAATACTGAGGTAAACCTGAGGTTTCAGGATCATTTGTTACTGAATCTTGGGATTCATATACCTAGCCCACAAAGCAGTTTTGTGTTCAGAATGTTAGCATAGTCTGAAACACTGATTCTGTTTTACTGCATCAACATCTCTTGACATTTTCCACAAAAATTGTTAACTCGGCTTCCAGCCCTTGACTTCTGGGAAGGGTTGCTTTTGCTCAGTATTTTACTTGAGCATCAGTGGGGAAATAAACATTACCAGACTGTAGCTTTGGCAAGGTTGCAAACAAGTGCTAGTGTAATACTTACTCAAACCAAAACCCTGAATAGTTAGCACTACAAGGGGGAACATTAGAATAAATTTCTGTTAATGTACATAACTTTACTTCTCTCTTGAATTTACCAAATAAGCAAGGTCTGTTAAAATAGTCTAGTAATAATCATGTGCTGTGTGTTTTAACTGCTTAACTTTTGTCTTTAAAACAGCTCATCAGAGTCGTAACAAGCTCAATAAAAGTACAGGGAGTCTTAGCTTATGTTTGTGTTGTGCTGTTCTACTGTGGGTAAGTAAATACACACAACTGAAATATGTTTATCTGATCAAACAGGTGAAAAAAGCTTCTTTTGGTATGTCTAAATGTAAGTGTAGACACAGTTTATGGTCAGTAGAACATAAATGTAAAACATGCTTATAAGCTGAAATTGAGAGTGCAGATTGGTCGCTAAGTACTGTAAATGGATCGAGTTATCATAGCCCACAATAAGTAACTTCAGTAGTGAAAATAACTAGTTGAATAATAATTGAAAGAATTTGACAGACAAGCACCATACCTCTGCATAAAAGGGGAAATTGAATTCTAAGGAATTAAACTTTCTGTGAAAAGAACAAAAATTCAATCTGTCAACAAAAATAAGCAGTAAGTACTGCAAACAGATCATGAGTTCTTCTCTCTGGTAGCTGAATGTGAGATTTCTTCCTGTTGGGAAACAGCTATATGAGGAAAAAAAAATTAAATGCAAGGCTCACCTTGCTGGGAAGGATGGGTCAGTAAGTAATCTTGGGAAATATAATCTTAGAATCATAGAATGGGTTTTGTTGGGAGGGACCTGAAAGATCATATAGTTACAACCCCCATGCCATGGGCAAGGACAGCTTCCACTAGACCAGGTTGTTCAAAACCCCATTCAGTCTGGCCTTGAATGTTCTGTGGCAATTTGTTTTCCAAAACCAATAATCTGCAAGTATCCCTTCGCTGCCACGTAGAATCATAGAATAGTTAGGGTTGGAAAGGACCTTAAGATCATCAAGTTCCAACCCCCTGCCATGGGCAGGGACACCTCACACTAAACCATGTCACCCAAGGCTCTGTCCAGCCTGGCCTTGAACAACGCCAGGGATGGAGCATTCACAGCTTCCTTGGGCAACCCATTCCAGTGCCTCAGCACTCTTACAGTAAAGAACTTCTTCCTTATATCCAACCTAAACTTCCCCTCTTTAAATTTGAACCCGTGTTATCCTTAACTACTCACCAGTCAAAACACATTTGAGATGCATTTAGTTGCACTTCAAATCCAGTCTAATTTGCCTGTCCTGAGGCACTTGCTGTAGGCTATATGGGGATGACTAGTTTCCAGGAAAGCTGCGTACTGAACTGTGTTAACGTTTGTTATCCCTCGGTACTTGTTGATACTGGTGTCCTCTCAAAATTGATCATAAGGAATTAAGCGTTTCAGGTTGCTGCAGCACAGAGAACCTGTCTGGGGTATTGTGGGAATATCTCTTCCAACGTCCTACCAAGTTGTGTATGTAAATAAAGGCAGCAAGACGGAAAGTAAAACACTTGTAGGTCTGGGGCAGTGGTCCAGCAGGTACACTGGAAAGGAGAAGGCTGCTGGTTTACAGTATCTTATGAAAAGGATGGGATTATTACACAGTTTTTATGAATAGTTAGATTCATATCTCTAATCTGACCTTGATCTGTGAAAAATGTAAACTCAGTCTGGTGTATCTAGTCCACATCAGTGTAGAGACACATCTCTTTAGCGTTGCATACTAGAACTTTGGGATGTTGCATATAGGCCAGATATTAACATTTACTATATTTCTCTCCACCATACTTTGATTCTTTTCCCAGCATGCCACGTGCTGTGCCCACGTTCTCTCTAAAACCAGCTCTATGTGATAAACGCTAGACAGTGTGACCTTGGTTCACATTGTCTTTCTGCTCCTTCCTCTGTGCTCTTGACTTGCCCAGCATCAAAGTAGTCTACCTCTGAACCTGCTGCTGTGTGATTCCTCACTAGCAATGTCTTGTATGAGGCATTTGGCCCTCTAAATAGCTGTGTCAAGCACTTTTTATCTTGTTTATTCACTATTTCTTTACACAGTGTGAAACAGTCACTACATCAGGCAGGAATAATCTGCCATTGCCAAAGCTGTGCTATGGTCTTTGGAAACTGTCTCATTCTTAGTGCTTGAACAAGTGGATTTCCAAAGTGTTTATTAATAATAGAGTCACACATTCATGCTGTGGTATACCAAGCTCAGCACCTTCGTTCTGCTCAGTGTCTTTTCCTTTTTCCCAACGTATATTTCCCTACATCTACTATTCCACTGCTTCAGCCCAGTTCTGTTTCTGGCTTGGAGGATAGAAGGCAGGAAGAAATAATGTGATTAACATGAAAGATTAAGTGCTGTTCTTTGAAGGCTTAGGTCACAAGAGTTAAATAGGTTTTGGTTTATTTTGTCTTAATTGAAAAGTGAGAACAGATTTTACTGTAATAGTGTGTAATAGTTACAGGATTCTGAACAACTGCAAACTTTATTGTTGTTAGAAATTTGAGCCTGGTGTGGACTGGCAGAAAAGAATAAAGGAGAATCACTAGAAACTCTTGCATAATTTTCCATGAAAAGCTGAAACTGATACAGTAAAGTGTTGATTTACGGCCTTTTCAGCTTCTGAGCTCATAAAATCAGAGTCAAATCATGCTGTAAACACCTACTCTCTTGGAACAAAAGCTTAAAAAGCGTGGAAAATATAAGAAGTGTAGAAACATGGCATAAAAAGTGTAGGGGGAAAAGAAAAAAAAAATCCCAAACCTCTAAGACTTATTAGAAATGGAGAAGAGCTTCTTAACTCTCAGAAACAAAATCTGTCCTTATAACCTAATAAAACTGTGGAGAACCATAGGTTTCAACTTGTATAAAATTATATCATCTTTGTGGTTGCTTGGATACTGAAATGTTGGTTTCTTCTGAGCACTGAGTGTGGTCTGCTCTGCTCATTCTTCCATATCTCTAAATTTCTTCTGCATGTAAATGTATTGCATAAAAATCTCTTGAAAGCGCAGAGTACTTTATTTTTCTGTTTTGACAAGTTCTGGTTACATTAATGCAGTGAGAAATAGTGAAGCTGATGCTGAATTGTGCTTGGGTCACTTTATGATTAAGTAGTTAGACCCCCTCCATGAATCTGTGAATGTTCACTTCAAGTCTTCTTTTTAGGCAGTTAGTGGTATACATAATAAACAGATTTTCAGAGTGGGGAATGAATTTAAAGCCTGCATTTGGTTCAGTTCTGTTACGTAGGTTGATTTGTGTAGACAATATTTATATTCATCCTACAGAGAATAGATTGCTATTTCCTTGTTCTGTTGTGAGCCTTTGCCTGCTTCCCCTCTGCTTTCACCTCTGGAATGGGCATTACTCTGCATGTCATGTAATACTAGTAATGGAACTTAGATTTTGCAAAGCTCATTTGAGTTACAAATCTAAAAGCACTTGATGGTAGATGAGACCTTCCTGTTCTTCAAATGAGAAGACAGGTATAAAGGAACTTTCAATGATTTGACGAAGTTTGTGTTGCAGATTAGTGATAATAGAAAAAAGAATCTTCCATCAACAGGTCTGTGCTGTGATGGTAAAGCAGTGCTGCCTGTTTGGATTTGTTGAGTTTTATTGACTGTCTTCTGCAATGTGAAAAAGTACTCTTTATGATTAGCCTGTAATTTGTGAAAACTTTCTCAAAAAAAGAATAAACAAAACAGTAAGCATTGTATCCGAAACATTATTAGAAAAAGGAAAGTACCTTTTGATCTTGCTATAGAAGGGATTTAATTTGTTAGCTAATCCTTCCAAGACAGCAGTAACCATATGCAATTATTTTAGTATGAATAATTGCAGTCTGAATAATATGCAATTATTTTAATATGCTAATGCAAATATGTAAACAAATCCTTTCTTTTTTTCAGGTTAATATCTCTGAAAGTCCTTAACAGTATTGTATTGCTGGGGAAATCATGTCAATATGTGAAGGAGGCAAAAATGGAAGAGAAATTATGCAATCCTGTCCTGACTGCCACCCCAGGGAAGCCAGCTGGCAAACAGCAAAACACGTTTAAATCTACCCAAGGTAAGCCTAACTACCTTGTTATGTTTTCAGCTGAAATTCCTTTCAGACTAAATTTAGTATTAAACCAGAGGTAGGATATAGTTTGCTGCACAGTAATGCTGTTGCTGGACCTTAATTGTACCATTATCACAGCTGTGAACACAACCCTGTAAATGTAATAAAATGTATTGCTTTTAGTCCACACATCATCTTTTGGTTATAAATACTCATCTCTCTCATAAAATCCCACCCTGATATGTGGAGGTGATAGAAACATCAAAACACCCCCATGCTTTTGTTTGAAAATCATAATCATAGAACGGTTTGGGTTGGAATGGACCTTTAAAGATCATCTAATCCTGTGCCACCTCACTACACAAATCAATAAATATTTGTACATTGTCTCTGGCAGTGCTGGAGTTTGATAAGGAAGCAGTCTGTGCATTTCTTCTGGAAATTAATGTAAAATGTGGCACACAATAGGTATAATTACGTGTAGCTGTCATGAACACATTAACAACAGCCTTTATGGAATCCAAACAGGTATTTCAGCTGGTCTGCTCGCTTCATTTCAAGTTCATGCAGTGTGGTTTTCTCATATAGGTCTTCAGCATTAGCGGTTAATATATACCTGCAATGGGGCATTATTCTATTCTTGTGACACATTATAGAAGGAAACAGAAACCTTCATTGTTCCAGTCAACTGAATTGGATTGTATATCTTCCTCTGTGAAGAGCTCAGTGACAGCCCTAGAAAGCTTAACAGTGGGGCTTTTATTATGTTCACTCTATTGCTTGCCAAAGACTTGAAAAGCTTGAAATGTAAGGTGCTTATTAGTCATGATAGTGCCTCGCCAGCAATAGTAGAATTAAGAATCGGTCAGTGTTTCAGTCATAAATCTCTGTATCTCACCTGTGTCAAATCACAGGCAGAAACTTGGTGCGGACCTTTATTTTTAAATAGTTAGATTCATAGAGTTGCTTCATTTTGTGATGAAAGAATGTAATATGAATTACTCTGAATGGCTTTTACATTTCATTAAACAACTGTCATAATGATAATACTACACTTGAATATGACACTTAATAAGTTGTACTTACTTAGATCAACCCTTAAACTTACTCACAATAAATCAGTCCTGAAGACTGTTTTTTTAGCTGAAGCAGCAGCAATTTTACCAGATCAGTCAGCAGAGATGTTTTTTCTGTAAATGGAAAGATTCTGACTGAAAAGGAGCAATCAAAAAGCTTCTCCTGACTTTTAGAATATTCTTAACTTTCATTTGTGATGAAAAAGCTCAATTTTTAATATTTTTTGAGGGGGTTATACCTTTTAACAGCTCTTTATTTATTAGAAACCTCGATTGTGCGAAAGACTAATTTTACCTTACCCAGCTTCTCTGTGTTTGCATTATTACTGCAGAGCTCTGCAATACTGGTTAATCCCTGCGCCCCACTTAACCACAGTTTTTTCAATACAGTCTCTCAACCCATCTCCTACTAGTGTGAGGGTGAGGGAATTAACCTGGTCTACTTTCTGTCAGCTTATAATGTAAGTCAGTTCATTTCCCTTAGAGTTTCCACCTCGACCGCAGAAACAGTTTAAAATTTTGAAGGATAAAATCTTATACTTGCTCTTGAAGAGTGGAAGTCTTAAAGGCTGGTAATCATTTATAGGCTGAGCAGCTCTCTGGAAGCTGCTGAGTTAGAAAATACCTTTGTAATGAAGTTCCGTAATTAACATTACTTGTCTCCTTTCTTAGTGCAAGTTTTGTACCTTTGTCTTGCATAAGACTGGGGGGAGTAATCCATGTACCTTCAAGGAGTAGATAGTATACACTGAAGAGATGTTATACCGAGAGAAGTTTTTGTAGTAATTTGGATAGTGCTGCCATTCTGACAAATAATGTTCGCTTGGCCCGGTCTGCAGTACTCTCTACATTAGGCAAATGTGTTCTCCACAGTTCAGATTCATTTAGAAACAATAACTTGGTCTTTATGAGGAAATAGTAAATAAGAAAAAATTATTTCCTTCTTGTTTCTGCATTTTAATTCTTTAAATGTTTTAACAAAATATGGAAAAAATACACGGATATGACTTACAAATATCTTGTGTTAATGGAGCTGGTGTTCAATTCCACTGAAGTAAGAGGCAGGAATAAAAATAGATATCTTTAATAGAACAGCTTTAGGAGTCTGTCCTATTAAAGTGTGTAGCAGTGCATGAGTAATTTATTAGCCATCCCTAGAGAAGACAGGTTTATTGTGCTTATGTAGAGGATTAGACATATCTAGTTCCCACTACAGAGTTTCCTTTTCTTCATTTCAGTAGAAAATATTTGTCTGTTTCACACAATAACTGTCAAAAATCTTTTTGCCTAAGCCAACAAAAATGAAAATGTAAACCAGCAGAATGCAGTTTATGTCCTGACATCTGCTGCTTATGCTCTTGCTTGTTATCTGAACTTCTACAGAATTTGTTTTCTATCCTTTCACGCAGTTAGAAAAGGAAATCTCTTGGTGAAACTAAGAAGAGGTAGTGGCTCCCACCAAGCATTCTTCTATCACTTCTGCTGATTTCATGCAGCACACTTTTTCATACCAGCTTTGGCTAAATCTGGATGTCACGGGTGTGTCAGTATGTCTGTGTTAAATTCATGAATATCTTTGTAATTGTGTCCTGTTCCAACAGGAAATTCCACAGATGAAAATGGATCTGCATCAGTTACCAGTCAACCTGTGCACCAGGAGAACTCGCCATCTTTACTTGTAACAAGCAATTCTGATCAGTTTCTGACAACTCCTGATGGAGAAGAAAAAGATATAAGCCAAGACAGTTCAGAATTAAAACACAGGTCTGCAAAGAAAGACTTGCTGGAGATAGACAGGTTTACTATTTGTGGAAACAGAATCGACTAAGATTTTTTTATTTTAATCAATGTGCTGAAGATACTGAGCTGTGGGGACAGCAGATGCTACCAGAATGGACAGTTGCCAAAAAAGGCACATAAATATTTATTTAAGAACTTAAATTATTAATGGCAAAAAAAATTAATTTCTTTCTACAAGTAACTTGACTTGGTATCTGGTCAGGTCAAGTCAGTGATCTTTAACTTGCCTCTTGGAAAATGTGGTGGATCGTGAGTTTCTAGCCTGGTGGCAGAGCTGCAATATCACTTTTCTGGAAAATAGACTGGAAAAAAAGCATAAGCCTGTTCTGCGTTATGAAACCATGCTTCCAGAACATACTACTTGTCATGAAGGTCCCTCCAGTGTAAGGATATTCCTGGAAATGTATGCAACTTGAGCAGGAGCTTGCCTTTCCAGTTACCTTGTTTTATTAAACATCTGCAAGCAGAATCCGAAACTTGTGCTTATATCAACAAATGCATAAAATGTTGGTACATAAAAGAGTAAGTCAAGGTAGTTACTCCTGTCAACAGAAACCTTTTCAAGATGTATCTTGAAAATCTTGTAATCAGAATAAAATCTTGCCTTTAAATGAAAGACTTACCGCATACTATTTTGTCCAAATACTGAGCACCAAGGGAAGATCACAGTAGTGAAGGTTCTGCTTAACTGGGCAAATATGAAGCATATTCATTTCTTGTGTTGTGTGTCCTGCAAGGCAAATTATTTATCAAATTATTTTGAAAATCTGAGGATTTTTTTGTTGCTGTAGGAAAAAGTAACAAAGGGGCACTTGTATATTTTGAGGAAAGGCAGTGTTAATGGCAGCAAGTGTCATGTTGGAACCGTATGTATGGCATTAACACAGCAAAAAAGAATATTGCACTGCATTTTGGGTTTAACTCTGATAAGAGTGACATCTGTGTATTAACATGCCTGAGAACATGCTATAAAAGCACATACTGACAATCAGATCAGAATGATCCATTGTAATTGATTTGGTTTAGCCACACTTAAGTAGATAGACTAGATCTATAAAAAAGCTTTCAAGCATTACAATGCATGTAATTTTCTGGTGTGAAATGCAGTTGTGGGAGAATTGATGAAAGATGGTTTAGAATCCTCAGACCAAGAATGGAATGAATTTGAGCTCAAAATTTAGGCTGGAGACTTGTATCAAAAGACACCCTGTAGTTAATGATAAATTGTTGTAAAACACCGCATTAATTTCAAATGCCTTTCGGCTATTTAAGTAGACACTTGGTTCTCTTTCCAAGGGAAGGTATCATAAAAGTACTTCAGTGCCGAACAAATGAAGACAGAATTTGCTCTTTGCTAATTTCATAATTTGTCAGAGTGGGAAAGCCAAAGTTTATTTGCTTTATGAACATGTGAAAGTCTAATGTATATGCTGATCCCTGAAACTTGCAGGACTACAGTAATATAGCAAATGGAGACAGCTGAACAGAGTTATCATGTATCTGAGCAGACTCGGTAATGAGATTTGCCATACCAGGTTAGCATGCTCTGCTCTAGTGGGAACTTCTTGCTGCAGTCTTTCAGCCCCTCCTCTCCCATCAAGAGTAGCTGGAGGCATGGCCAAAATCTGTGGTTACTGTTCAGGGATGAGAGTAAAAAGAAGAGGACTTGTGCTGGGGAAAAATCTGAAACTCTTGAACTTTTGATGTATTTTATACTAATTGGAGATGTTCACACATTGAAATTCAGATTATCTGTCAATTTGGTGTATCATTTTTGAATTATTTAGCAGATGCTAAAGAAAGCTTGGATTTGCTTTCATTTTTTTCTTTTGAATGACATTCTGTATCAATTTTATATGTGCATCTTGTGTGAAACTCAATAAAATTCAATTTTGTAATATTTGTTTAAAAAAAGGACAAGTACAGCGTTGACGTTTCTTTCTTCATTTTCAGAGTTGGTGAACTTGCAATGTATTTAGTGTATTCTGATTTCCATAAAGTAAGATTCTTGCAAATGTGGCACATGAATGTGGGTAACAACTGGGTTATCAATGACTTCTGATTTATTTTGTAGCAGTTGCTTACTGCCATTTGTAGGAAGTAAGCCTAGTATTAATTTGTTTTTTAAAGGCAAAACTCATGTAAAAGTATGTCTTAAGGGAGTTATAATTTATGTAGTCAATTACTACAACTGGACTGGTTACACCTACACAGCAAAGCCAAACCTAATTGCGGTGTAAGCTTAGGCATAACCTTTCCTGAACACAGGACAATAGTGAAAGGACAACAGGTAACTTCACTGAAGTCCTGCCCACATCCTCATCCTGAGGTTGGCAGCCTTTGTTGCTTTGTTTTTACACTTGAATTGTGGTAACTAGAGCTAAAGCAGCATAGCTGGGCTTTGGGATATGGCTGTTACACTGTGTTTGTTGTAACTTTGTTGATGTACAGATCACAGTAATTCCAAGGTATGCTCAAGGCACTGGTTAGAGAGGGCATTGCAAATGCAACACTTCCCCATAAACTCTCTGGAAGTCTGGTAGGGGCCCAACTTGGCATGAAATTTCATTGTTCTCTCTTGCTCTAAGCTCTCTAATTGTTGTCATGGTTTTGTTTGAAATTAATAGAGATTCCTTGAGTATCTAGCAGGGCATCTTTAATGAGAGGTTGCAACTTCTCTGACCCAGCTGGTCCTCTTAGAACTCTTGAGGTGGTGAGGGGGAGCAAACCACAAAACAAACCAGAAACACCAAATTTCTTGTCTGTAGACACGGTTCTTTATTTCTATAGGCTTTCGTGAAAAGATCCTCTCTTAACAATGAAGTAAGTAAGAGCATTGGAGGTTAAGCAGTGAATAAATTGAGTTCTTCAATTGATAAATTCCTCCAAAAATAAAACCTAGGCGGTTCTGATGCAAGCAGTAGTATTTCAACTACAGTTACAGTTGCCAAAATAATTCCAAAAGCACACACTGAGTAGAGTGTATATTCATAATTAGTATTCCTCGTTATGGGAGCATTAAGGAACAACCGTGTTTTTTCATAGGATTATTTAATTAATCTCCTGAAGCCTTTCGGATGTTCATAAGCCAAGCAGAATTTCCCCTCAAGCAAAAGTTTTACAATCACAAGTACACAGTTAATTTACTTGCCTCTTCTTTCAGAGTGAGTTTGTTGGAACTTTTCAACTTTGACTTGGTGTTTTGTGGTGCAAAATTTTCTCTAAGTATTCATTTAGAAGTCTTTGTAATTCAGCAAGGTTGTTGAGGTCCCTGTTGTTAAAGCCAGTATTTGCCCAGTTGTGGTTGCTATGCCTGCTCAGCTGTTGGGCTGCAATTCTGAATCAGTTTGGTGGTGGTAAGCAAGGATGAATGCAATTTAATTATAGTACAAATGTAATCAGACTTCCTGAACATTCATAGAATCATCACAGAGCAGTGTGGGCTGGAAGGGACCATAAAGGTCACCCAGTTCCACCCCCCCTGCCATGGGTAGAGACACCTTCCACTAGAGCAGGTTGCTCCAAGCCCTGTCCAATCGCCTTGAACACTGCCAGGGATGGGGCACCCTGTGCCAGCACCTCAGCACCCTCACAGGGAAGAACTTATGTCTAATTAGGACATTAGGAAACATTGTCTTACAAACTGGGCTGCTCCATTGTGAGTAAACTAGTGGTTATACCAGCTGTGTCGGTCTTGGGTAGTGATGGCTTCAGGAATGCTCTTCACAGTTACTGAACAAAGTTTGCTCTTGAAACGTCTTCAGAGTAATTGCTTCTTCTTAGACATTTGGACTATGTTAATTTTGCTGACTCAAAGGAACCAAACAGCTTTGTGTAAGTACTAAGTGGCAAGCAAGGGGGCTGTAACAAACACTGTGGAAGCAGCACCATGGGGCCATCTTTATCTCAAGGAAGTTTTCCCATATGTAGTGGTGTGGGATACTTAAGACTATAAAGGTTATCAAAAACCTAATGTATCATTTCTGTATGTCTTGTTCTCTAGGAGAACAGTATCTTTCACTGGCCGTGCCAACTAAGCCTGAGCCAAGGTGGACCTTTTCTAGGACTTGAGTATCTGTTACACTTTGATTTAGAAAAAACACTGCCAACAGAGGAATTGTAAGAGCGGTCATGAGTACATAACACCAAAGAACATTCTTAGTAAGCTTGCAGCTGTAATAACAGAAAAATCCAAACTTATAATAGGTTTTAAACATTCCTCGGTTTTGACCAAAACACTATTACCATGTTTGCAATGAAATAAACTGAGATTTTAATTAACATGTGCCTTTCCTGGTTTAGATTGTGCATATCTTCCATTCATTACGCTTTGTAGGAGAGCAATGCTACCAAGTTGAGCCAAGGTTTCACTCTAATTGGAGGCAATTCTGTCTTGCAGCCAAACTGCAGAAAGCGTTGAGCATCGGGAGGAGAGAGGAGTTGATTTGTGGTGAGTACAAAGATGTGGGTTGCAGCAACACTGCCTTGGGTTCTCTTTTTATTTTAGGGTGACTGGTGCGGTTTTGTAAGCTTTGCTAAAAATATCCTGTATTTAATAAACAAACACATTGTATGTATTACACATTGCATTGCATTTACTACTTTCATGGTTTTATATCAGAAATTACTCATGTTGGTGGTATGACAGTAATGTGGCAAGGTATGTATATTTTTAATAGAGCAATTCTGGTGTTCAGGGAAGGATCAGGTTTTATGTTGGTGTTGCTGCTTCCCATCCCTTCTCGGTTTGTTGGACAAAAGCAGCAATACGTTTCTATGTAGGTGGACTACTTTGAACATCAGAGCATGTTCCTGTGATGCCCAGTCCTGAGAGATGCTTCTATCTGCTGTTCCTGTTGAAAATAAATGAAGTATCAAGGTAGCTCAGAAATCACTTGTGCCGTGCTGACAGTTTAAAAGAGGTCATTCAGAACAGCTTCAAAGAGGTAATCCAGAGAAGTGGAATTGTGGAGCCTTGGGAAATGATGCCTCTGATTTACTGAGACGTGTGGCAATGAAAGCTGAAATCCAGCATTGGACAGCACATCCTTGGGCTCAGTACACCAAATCAAAGCAGGAGGGTGTTTGAGTTGATGTTGGCAAGTACAGTCCTGGTGACAGTTTTCCTGCAGATTAGATTTGAACTTGACATTCTTGTTAAAGGCAGCAATATCGCCATTAGCCAAGTTCTTTCTATAGCCAAGGCAGCAGGAGCTGTGCTAAATTATCTCTTCTGGAAGCAATTCTTGAAGTATCATGTGCTCACGTATCTAACCTCAAAGCTATGAAACCTTGTTTTAGGGTCAGTTAACGCTCTGTTCCCCTTGGATACCTGCAAGCTGTATCTGTAGTTGAAAGGAGCCTTGCATTGAGGCTTGGCAGTATCTACTGTTTTGAGACAATGTCCTTAATACAGTAGCAGAGAAACCACCTATTAGGCTAAAAAATTGAGTTGTCTTTAGTCACTTAAAATTACTCTGACATTGGAGAAGGAGACTGAATTTTGGTCCATCTGAGGTGTAATGGTTTATGGTGCTTGTTCAGCCATTTAGTGACCACAGGCTATTTCACCTCCATGCAGGCAGCAGTAAATTCTCTAGCCAGTTTTTGTGCTAAACCCTCATTAAAACCAAGAACCAAAGCCCCACTGTATATTTAGTAAGTGATTCTTTACAGTAGATGTTCTGCTAATGGCATCAGAGTGATTTTGTGGAATCAATCTATCTGCTTTGTACATCTTATGTTCAAAATGGCAACTTTTTATGAAGTAAGTTTCAGCTTTTGATCTGGATACACATAGTTTTTTATTGCTATTTAATTGATCTGACAAGTCTGCTTTCTGAAACATTAACATTCCAGCAGTCCCATGTTCCTGTAATGCGGACTTTTGTCCCAAGGGCAGTAGATGCTAAGCTCTTGATACGGCAACCACACCACAAACCCTAAGAAACCAAAATACAAGCTTCATAGTTTCACATACCCACGGTAAGGAGCAGGATAATCTGTGGTTTATCCCTGGTGAGAGCAGAAAGAGCACAGTAAGAAACCAATACACAGTATACTCAGTTTGCAGGTATTACAGTTTACCTGTAAATTCTCCTTACAGTGCAAGGAAATGAGCTAGATCTTGGATAAATCTTGCCTGTAGAAGAAAGTACTCTCACAGGAACTTAATTTGGGAAGGGCTCTTGGACTATTAAAAAACATGGCTGTCTTATAATAACAAGACAGCAAGTTTTGTCTCTAATTACTGGCTTTGGCTTTGCTGTAATGCTGCAAGTAGCTGTTGACAGCCTGTGGTGATAGTGAGATGGGTATCAAATTATCAGTGTTATGATTTCACGATGGGATAATACAAGTATGAGGACACCTGGTAACCTTCAAACACAATCTAGCAACAGCTGTAAACCAGAGCTCCCTAATTAATGAGCTCTGGCCTAAAAGCCGTGTGAAACCTGTTGATTTTGTTTAGCATATATGGAGCATTTGAAAGTCTTTCGTGATGTCTTGAAGAGAAATTGGTCAGGATAATGTTTTTCCCAGAAGAAAATAATCAGGGATTTTCTGCTGCCCACCATGGGGTAATGCTCAGCAGACTGGGACTTAGATTCATAGAATCATGGAATAGTTAGGGTTGGAAAGGACCTTAAGATCATCAAGTTCCAACCCCCCTGCCATGGGTAGGACACCTCACACTAAACCATGTCACCCAAGGCTCTGTCCAACCTGGCCTTGAACACCACCAGGGATGGAGCATTCACAACTTCCCTGGGCAACCCATTCCAGTGCCTCACCACCCTTACAGTAAAGAACTTCTTCCTTATATCCAATCTAAAGCCTGTGTCATTTGTAGGCTTGCTAGTGATCTATAAAGAGCATATATATGATTTTATTTATAAAGAAAAAAAGAAGGGGCTGAT